AAAAAATTTTGCAATGGTCTTTATTCAAAAAGCTCTATTTGTAAATTTTAATTGACTTTCGTATACCTACTTATACTTATAGCTACCTTGCCCCAGTCACTTCAAGTGAATTCTACAGGAGGAGGGGGACATTGAAAATCCCCGGGTTTACTTGGTAAAAGCAAGAATTGAACAATGCATTACATGTATATGGAGAGCAGTTTTAAATATGTTTTATCATGCAAATACCTTGATAATTGTTCTTAAACGTCTTTGGCTTAGAATGGGTACACCCTCCAAAGGTGTTTATTTACAGGGCCCAAAGGTGTAAATAATTACACTGTCCAAGGTGTTAATATAAACAACAAAAACAATGTATATAATTAAATTTTATTAAATAAAATGTGGAATATTTTACAAATTGCATTACCATCCCAAAGTGTACATAATTTATCAATATAATTAGGACTTAGAAGCTGTTCACATGAGTTTGACTCTGACCCAGCACCCTTGGCTAGCTACCCTTGCCCGATCGCAAGTAGAAAACCTCCAAGCCCCTCTGACTAATTTGACTCTGAACCTCTCTACCAGCGAAACGATCTGGACTCTGAACGTTCTCTACCTGAGTTCTTTACCAAATGAAATAACTGAAATAAATTTCGTACTTTCCGCCGCCAACAAGAATTGCACACACGATCTGATAAGTGAGACAATTTATTTATAACAATGCCAATGGCGACAGCGAAGCACACATAATATAAATGCTAATGTGGTCGCACGACTTCCTTCACGATTTGAAGTTTGAGACTGGTGTTCTGTTGAAATTCGTCCTAATTTGCCTGTTCCGATTTTAGTTGAAAATGAGCACTTGCAAATTTGGGAATTACTGACTGCGTTGCTTGCTTTTTTGGAGTTAAAACGCTGCCATTTACACATTGTTTATGTGATCTGAATAAGCAGAGAAAACCCCGCAACATTTTAATGCGAGTTTGTTTGTTAATATTTGGGTGCTGTCATTGGTTCTTTTTTGACAATTGACGCGAATGGGGCGTGTTATGAAAAGGGGCGTTTTACAAAATACCGGGCCTTGCTTGCAGGCCCACCATCAGTTCCCTTGGGCCTGCACGCGGGCTACGCTATACAAAGCCAATGAAGGCACATTTTGCCCTAAATACTCGGTCAGAGCCTCAGAGGTGCGCTCTAGTACACAATTAATCTTCTCTCACAGTTTAAAACAAACAATAATACTAACCTTCGACAAATTGTGTATAAATCTTATCGAATTTAACCATTTTGCCACAGATTTTTCCAAAAATATTTCTTAGACGGACAAATGTTAATGTTAATTTATCCCCAAATGTTAATTTATCCCAAAGTTTGAATAAAGTAATCCAAGATTGCATTATTTGCATAATAATGTACTTGTCATTGACCAATCAGAATATATAGAAGACCGGCCGGTGCAAGGGCCTTTTCCCGCCTTCCCAATGACAGAAGGGGAAAAGCCCTGGGAACGAGGTTGTTTGGACACTCGACACTCGACAGTGCACTTTTTTGTCTTCACGAGCACCTGTTTGTTGAGCCAAAATATTGCACAGAATCTCCTATAAATTATATCGCCATTCACCCTCCCACCTTGAATGCAAAGGAATGACATCCGAAAAGGTTTAGCAAAGTATTTGTTATTATATCAGGTACAAAGTGTCCATACTCTTTATCGGGGATATATTTATAATATATACATAATTCATAAACTGTATATGCGCACCAAGTCTCGCTCATAGAACCACTTAATGAGTTTTATTAAGCCATTTAAAGTTTCTATTGATACTGATACTGATACTGATACTGATAGATAGGTTGTTTGCCTCCAGCTAGTATCGTTTGGTGAAACTTCTAAAATTCCAATTACAGTTACGACACAGTATAGGGGTATACGATAAAGATTAAAGACTTAAAGTTGATTTAAATATTGATGACTCACAGCGGCATTATACAAGTCGAAAGAAGCTGGATTTTAAGCTGGATTATTCTTCAAATAATGGGCATTAATACCAATGCCAAAGAAAGGTCTTTATAAGATTTATAATGTTTACTGCAATATATGAAATCTGACTGAAATAATGTAGTCTAGTGCATGATATATCGTCCTAGATATTCAAGTTGTATCGCACACACCGAGGAGTCTTGGCGTTCCTTTCTGCCTGCTTAGCCAATGATAAGTAAGGTTCCATATTTCGGAAATTTTTGCCGCCATATTACAGAGCCAATCACAATCAATGTTTCCGACGTATTCTGAGCCGAAAATCACTGAACAATAAGGCTTCTCTTGAAAAAACATTCGATATTGCTGCTCACAAGTTCAACATTCGCTGCCTTAATCCGCATAGATAGATAGATAGAAAGATAGAAAACTTTATTTAACCACGCTAACCCCGTCAACCGAAGCTGATTTCCACAGGGGGGCGTGTATAGAAGAAATTACAGAAGTATAAAATTTAGAATAATTATTTACAAAATATTAGAAATAGTATTAAATAGGTAAAGTATAGTACCGGTACTTAGTAAGTTAGTCTGCGGGAACATCTATTTACAATTACTATTAATGTGAGTAGCGATTTTATTCCTAAAAGAGGCAAAGGATTTGCTTTCTCTAATTTCCTTCGGAATAGAATTCCAAAGGTAGGCTCCGTCATACATGAAACTCTTTTTCATGCTATTTGTACGCGGTTTAGGTAAGCAAAGACAACTCGAAATATCCCGAAGATTGTAGTTTGTCATCTCACCTTTATAGTTATGTGAAAATATTAGTGAGTGACTCCGGACCCATTTTATTTAATATTTTGTACATTAATTTTGCTTTAGCTTTTTGTCTTTCCGTTTTGAGTGGCACCCAGCTCAATGCTTGTAAAGCAACAGAATGTTCTGTGTCATTGCTCATATTCATGATAATTCGAGCAGCTCTATTTTGGAGTTTTTGGAGTCGCTTTGATTGTGTTTCCCCAAAGACATCCCATACTTCAAACAATAATCGAAGTATGGCCGAACAATTGCATTATATACAGAAATAAGAATTTGTCTATCAGTAAACTCTTTTAAACGCCGAAGAGCCGATATTCCTGCTGTTATTTTCTTACAAATATTGTCAGTATTACTTTTCCAAGACAAATGCTGGTCAATTGTCACTCCAAGAGTTTTACATTCGTAAACTTGTTTAATTGGTTTGTTTTCAATTTCAATATTAGGTTGTGAATTTGAAACACTTTTGATCATTGGCTTCGAACCAATTAACATAAATTCGGTCTTAGCTACATTTAGGCTAAGTTTATTGGCAACTAACCATTTTCTAAGGTTTTCCAAATCAGAGTTCACTGCAGTCTCAAGGTGAGGTATAGAATCTCCAGTAGCGGTTAGATTTGTGTCATCAGCAAACAACCGAGGTTTTGTATTATTTAGACATTGAGGCAAACCATTAATATATATTAGAAAGAATAGTGGCCCAAGAATAGAGCCTTGTGGTACACCACATTTGATCGATTTTTCTGATGAAATGGATCCTTTTATTTGGCATTTCTGTTTTCGATTTGTGAGGTAAGATTTAAGAAAGGTCAAAGTTTTTCCTTTTATTCCATGAAGTTCCAACTTTCTTAACAGAATTTGATGATCAACAGTATCAAATGCTTTTTTCAGGTTAATTAAGACTACAAAGTTAAACATTTTTTTGTCTAAGTTCATAAACCAGTCATTAGTACAATCGAGTAATGCTGTAGCTGTAGAGTGAAATTTTCGAAAACCAAACTGAGAATTACTCAGAAGTTCAAATTTTGTTAAATAATTGTATAGTTGATCGTACAGAATTCGTTCCATAACTTTACTTATAGCTGGCAAAACTGAAATTGGTCTGTAGTTTCCTGCTGCATTTTGTTGGCCATTTTTGTAGAGAGGTATTACTCTAGCCACTTTCCATTTATCAGGGAAAGAGGAGAGAGTAACTGCCTGATTAAAAATATATGTCAACGAATCTGAAATGGCAGGAGCTGCTATTTTAATAATTTTACAAGAAATTTTATCAATTCCAGTTGCTTTATTGCCAGAAAGTCCATGCAAGAGATGGTAGACATTACTGACGGTAACCGGCTGGAAAGCAGTGAATTCTGATTTAGAATTTTTAACATATTTTTCAAAGCTGTCATTCGAAGTATGAATATTGCTTGCTAAATCAGGGCTAAATATTGCTGCTCACAAGTTCAACATTCGCTGCCTTAATCCGCATCAGAAAACAGCGATTGGAACAGTAATTATTGAAAAGAAAGACGTGTTTGTAAATTTGCCCACTGGCTTTGGAAAATCGGTCATGTACCAGGCACTTCCGTTTGTAATAGACGAGGTGTCCAGATACCCAGGTCGTATTGTGGCAGTTGTCTCCCCGTTGTTAAGTCTCATGGATGATCAAGTAGCACACCTTACAAGTCTGGGAGTAAGCGCGGTTAATATAAGCTAGTGCATGGAAGAAGATTGCGATGGTGTCGAAGCTGGTGAATTTTCTATCGTTTATGGC